AATCACAAATTGCAATCATTCAGCTCCATAACTTAGAATACCACAATGTTTTCCGTTGTTCTTTTCTCCCACAAGGAGAGTTTACAGAATCTTAAAGACAATGCCCTCCAGTGGCGTACCGAGGGGGAAGCCCCCCCCCCCCCAAAATTGGGTCGCGAAATCTTTGAAAGTTATCTACTGAGCTATAAAAATGCGAGTGATTTGTTTATGCTTGTAAATGAATAATATAATTTTTTAAATTTTTTTTGAAAATTCAATTTACGCTTATAAAATTTTTTTCCTTTCTGGAATTTCAAGGTTAGGACCCTCAAACATTTTTGGAAGCATACTAAAAACGTTCGGAATGCGTTTGTCCCCATCCTGAACGAAAATCCTGGGTACGCCACTGAAGCCCTATCAAATATTTTAACCATTTTTAGGTCCTCCCATGGTTCTGATATTTAAAATGAGGTGCATAAGACCCCCAACCACTTCTTCGAAATCCTATTTCGAGAAGTGACGACTGCTTGACGCTAGCCTCGTCATAAGCAACACATAATGTCGTCGTTTGCACCAGGGACACTGCACAGTATGCGTCTTGATATACTTGTCACGTCAGAACGTGTAAAGGAGCCGCCTCGATGGGCGAAACTCAATAGCGCTGGGCCTGGCTTGATAGCGTTTCGCGGATTCCGGGTCTATTTCTCGTATTAAATGCCAACGCAGACGCCCCAATTTTTAGGAGAGAGACTAGGTACCTATCGGAAAACTAGAGATTTTGCCTAGAAGCATTGAGTAAAATTTAGACAAGTTTGATTCACAAAAGAATGTTCAAAAGTCGGAGCAGCCAGATTTATTACCAAGGTGCAGCACAGAATACTGACTTTAAATTACTTTTCCATATCTGCTGAACGCCTGCCTGTGGACGAAGTTATTAGATTGGTGCAAAAATAATGGCCGTTTTGCAAATTCTCACTTTGACGTACAACATTTCCGAATGTGGTAACGACTGTTAAAAGCAGCAAACTTTCTGCAATAAAGCGCACATATTAGGTTGAACCGAAAGTTCGTTCGCACCATTTTCAAAAAATCATAACTTCTTTCCGTCACGACGATTTTGCGCAATTCAAGTTTTATTAAAAAGCGTAAAGCATGTAGTTTCCGAAGTCTCCTGTCGACTTTCCATCATGCTCAGATTGCAGAGATAAAAATGAAAAAACGAAAACATCCGAAATTCGGAATTTTTGAGAAACAATTCCAAAAATCTAGAAACTGCGCGATAAAATCCAGAAAAGCCATTATCCTAATTTTTCTTATATTTGATTACTATCTGAGTCGTGTTTGTGCTGATGGAGCTTTTCTTTCAAAAGTTATGATTTTTTGAAAAAAAAAATGCCTAAAAATCAATTTCTTAGGAATTCTTAGGAAAGTGATTTTTCGGAGTTTTTTCAAAAAATCATAACTTTTGAAAGAAGAGCTCGATCAGCACAAACTTAACACAACTAGTAATCAAATATAAGAATAATTAGGATAATGGCTTTTCTGGATTTTATCGCGCAGTTTCTAGATTTTTGGAATTGTTTCTCAAAAATTCCGAATTTTGGATGTTTTCGTTCTTTCATTTTTATCTCTGTAATCTGAATATTCTGGAAAGTCGTTAGGGGACTATTGGAAACTACATGCTTCATGCTTTCTAATAAAATTTAAACTGTGCCAAATCATTGCGAGGAAAGGAAGTTATGATTTTTTGAAAATGGTGCGAACGAACTTTCGGACCAACCTTATACTTATTTCACAAAGGGGCAGAAAAATATGGGTTGAAAAACAAGAAAGGCTTTTCTGCTAAAACCTTTCTTTTAACAATTCATAACTTCCTCCAAAGTTGTTAGTATGAATGATAAGTAGCCTGCCTTATAGTCGCAAGCAGTAGCACAAAACACAATAAAAAGAATTTGGAAGAAAAGTTTGCGAGAAAGAAAAATTAAAATTATTTAAAATTTCCCAGTTTTTTCTATATTTTTTTCAGTGTGCCTCAGTCCGAATATAGAGTTTTCTGATTTTCTACGTACTGAACAGCTGGATCTTCTTGCAAAAACTGCTAATATGATGTTCTAGCCCTACGCTTACAGAATTGAGCAAAGTTTCGGCAATTGACTTCTTCAGAAGATAATTACGGGTCATAAAATGACCGCAACAGCTACCCATGATTAGGCGTCGATAGCTCAGTCTGAACAACTTCAAAGAATACAGTTAAGTAAGCATAATGTAGACACTTTCCATCACATAAAATATCTAAATTTTCGAAGAAATGCCCTTGATACGCGCTTGAATTCTGGCCAGAATAGTGAATGAAATGAAATTCTAAATTTCGATACGGTTATTTGAAGCTCAGTACTTTATAACAGATGAGGATGAAAGCCCTTTCCAAACACCATTAGATAGAGCATGAAAACAGCTTCTCGATGATACACTACGTCTATTTTAAAGAAGAAGTGTTGATGAAAAAAAGCTGCCAGAACTTGGAGAATCGGCCATTGTTTTTGCACCAAACCGAATATAAGCACCATACTAAATTAATTGTACAAAGATGCAAATGTGCACATATAGACTCATGCTCAACACTGGATTCAAACATGCAGCCAGGTCACTTTAGGTACTCCGTATTTCGAGCTACCCAAGAATTTAATTTTGCACGTTGTACTTAAGGTTTTCTTACAATATAACTGCTTACAATTTTGTCCACAAACGCATTTAGCAGATGGGGAAACCAGAACTGAATTTAGCGTTTTATGCTGCTTTTAAAGAATGCAAGTCCTTCGTATTAACCACTTACTCTGAGCATTTCCTTGTCAGAATCTGCATAGCAGTGCTCTGCTGGAGGTTAGAGAATGGTATTCAAAAAATTATAGGATTGACGCTGTAGTGGTGTTATCGGAGCCATTATGATTGAATGAAGTATGAGAGGAAAGCAAAAACAAGGTTACCCCTTGCCGTTCCTTAAAAACTCTCAATCAGTACAATAATGTTACCATTATCTCATGACTTTCCCTCATTGTACTGGAGCTTTACTGAATTCACACAGTAACTTGCTGAGATGAAAAAGTCATCTCAGCATGAATTTTGAATGAAATCAAAGTATTAGGTCGTTCCGAAAGTAATGTCGCTTTTTTCGAATGAACGCCACTATTCGTGCAATCAACATTTTCAAGAGATCCTAGGAGCATTCGATGCATCATTTCATTCTCTTTCTAATGGTTTTAATTTCACTGCATAATGTCTAATGAACTCTCGAAAAATTACCAAAATCTGCGACTCATGCTTTTTGCCATGGTCAAGTTCGGCTATTTTTCTAAATTTTTGTACCTAATCTCCGAAAGAGTACAAGTGGCAGGTAGATAGAGCAAACACTATAGAACACAGAGTAATTTTTTTCTTTCCCTTAGCTTGCTTTTCAGAATGTCTACAATCAATTTCTCATCACAGAACAACAACCGGCAAGCAACTCGGGTGCCATTCGATGCAGCTTTTTCTCCTCTTTCTAGTGTTCGTTTTTTTCCCCGATTCATCAAGTTTTCCGGGATAAAATCATCATAATTCAACTTTTTCAAGGCACGCCAAGGTGTACCCGAAATCTTCGAAAATTGCTAAACCGAAGCGGTGAATGCTCGTCTGGTTTGTAAAATTGTTGCCAAACCATAATCCATCTTTGTAAGCTTCAAAATCCGGAGACTTGTTGGCGTTTGATGCACTTGTGTCTGAAACGAGCCTGCTAAAATTCGGTGGTTCCATCAAAAAATCTGTACAAAAATTATGACGAGCTCTGGAAAGTGGAAAAAAGTTGTGCTGTTTCCTGTAAGGTGCTCTATCCATCCATCACTAGGACTCCTTCCGAGGGTTGTTATAAAAATTTAGAAAAATTGTGAAACTTGGCCATCTCAAAAAGCATAGGTCGCAGATTTTGACTCTTTTCTGGAAACTCACTGACTGCCTTGCAACAACTTCATCACCATTAGAAAGAGAATGAAATGCTGCATCAAATGCTACGAGAATCTCTTACACGTCTTTGTTCCAAGAGATGTGGCATACGTTTGAAAAAAGCGACATTACTTTCGGAACGACCTAATATTAGATATGAAACTGTTAGTCCATGAAAAGGCTACGCCGTTGTCACAATGTGTGGCCAAATATCAGCAACAACAAGCAAGTAGCTGTATTTGACACTTAAATGATAAACCAGCATTGGCACAAGTTCTGCACAATTTTGCTCAAGCAGGAATGAGTGCACGAGTATGGAAACACCACAACTTACAACAAACCGCTAACCTGTCTGTCTGTAAAGTCGGTCTGTTATGGAATTACAATGGGGAATTCTACAATAATCTGAGGCATTTGAGGACCTGATAGCAAGAAAGATTCATTCAGTTATGATACGTTCAATCCGCTTAGTAAGAAATAATTTACGGGACAAATCAGTGACCTAGTGGTGTCCAGACATGTACAATAAACAAGTGCAATATCTCTCGATTTCCCACATTCAATATTAAACTTTCTTCGAGTGTCGTCTTCATATGAAATGGCTGAGTGAGCCTCTCATGTGGGAACTTATTAGGACAATGTGCATGATTCATTCGTAAATGAAAAATCAACTCAAGTCAAAGCGCGCTAGCGTGGTGCAACGTACTTACAGCGCTACTTGTTGAGGCTTAAGGCTGATTGATCAACTGAGAAGGAAAACGATAAGAGCTGCAGTTCAAATTTCTCGAAATTTGTACCTGGGCTGTGGTTGAGTAAGAAATCATGAATTTGCCGAACTCTGTCCTCAAAACAACTAACAATAAGTTGTTTGCGGGTTCCTTTATAGAATATCGAGCATCCTTTATAGAATATCGAGCAATGTTCGGCGAGCAAAGATCAACTGAGTAGAGCTGAGGTAAGCATGAATAGCTCGTCTGATGAAATCGTGTCTATCGATGACTGTGCGGATCTGTGTAGAACACTGCTGACCATCTTTTATAATTTCAACGAGCACTGATACTACAAGTCTAACAAAAAATTGTGAGCGGGAATTGCGACGGAATGGCAGACGACGTGACGCAATACTTTGTCAAATACTGCCTGGCCATAATAACGCCATTCGCCATTGACGCAGTGGATATCCACGAGCTGACGGAAGTCACTCACTCTTACTGAAAACGCACTGATCTTTATCAACACAAAGCTTTGTACATAAATAAAACATATATGGAAGCTCAAAAAGCAGCTTTCGAAAGGATAGCAACTCACGTGGTGCGAACATTTTCGAAAATTATATTAAGCCAAGTTAACTTCTTGTAAAAAAAACATATGAATTCTTGAATAGAAAATGAAAAAAAAAGTCGAGTAAGCTTGCAGAATGGTAGCTTTGCTTTTCTTTCCTTTCAATTTTTTTTCAAATCCAGAAATGGTTAGACCAGACTTTTTGAAAAGAGCAATAGATCATTTTGGCTTACGGCAGAATCAATAGTGTTTTGCTGACTCACGGCATGAAATTAGAAAAAAAGTTTGGTACAGATTTTTAGCCGCATAGAATAGAGAAAAATGCCCCATGTTACAATAACTATAAAAGTGTCGACACTTCTATAGTGGATGTTACATAGGGGTTTTTCGTCTATTCCATGTAGTTAATCATCTTGAACATCTGTACTGAAACAGTTATGCAATTTCATGCCGTAAGTCAGCAAGACATAGAATTGAGAGTATGGATACAAGAATATAGTACTCAAGTTCTGTGTGTTTTCAACCAAGCTGATGATAATCTGAAACTTTCGGAAACAAAGCATAAAATCCATTTGATTTTTAACCCCACTTTTAACTGTGCAAAATTTGTGTTGACTAAGCTTTCTTGAAGCTGGGACCTTTGAATCAAAAAGGAAAACCGCAAGTTTCTGATTTTCTGAAAATTATCGGAGTCTTTAATACTCAAAATGATTTGAAATGAAGCGGTTTTTTGCGCTTTTGTCTCAGACACCTATGATATGAGACCAGCTACCCACAAAGTAAAGGACTTCATCCGCTCATTACAATTAGTTTCCTTCTCTTATATTCGAATAGCAGAATATTATTCTTGGAAATGCGGCAACAAAAAGCGTTCTGTGAGCCTTCTGACTGATTTAATATCAAAAACCAACTGCAAACGGCGCATTCGTAATGCGCGTTCAATGTAAGGTTCTGTAGGCTTTTACTTAATAATACATGCACAAGATCGGATCGCATCAGCAAAGCCTGAATTACCCTTGTGATACTTTTTGGGAAGAATATGTGGTAATGTCCTCGAAGCACTCTTGATGCTGTGTTAGACAAACAATCTTTTTTCATCGGTATGTTGGCACCTAGAAGGTCTTTCGCAGTAGGCTGCGTCAAAAGGATAAAGGATAAATGATAGAGATTCGGGTTATCAAGACTCTCTGTGGACATTTGTTGAATGCACTCTACTTCACAATCAAAGAGAAATTTGAACGCGAAATAGCCATGCTTGCGGGGGCAATCACCAAGTCAGTGCTTTGATCTTCCTGGACTACTCTGGTACCAGATTACCCGTCCCTGAATGTAGAGGGCTGTGGGCCTAGAGGTGGGATCGAAGCTTGGTCTAGGATTGTCATAGCGGCGCCTCATACCACTTCGTCATTCTTCCCCAAGCCAAAATTAATCCCACACGTAGGCCTACACCCTTCATATAATGCATTTTTTCTAGCCAGCATACTAAAATGTACCGAATAAACACCGATTACGTGCCCCAGGCAAAGTCACTGACGTCTTACCAGCTGACTCCTTACTGTCCTCACATTTTGTATCGCTTTTATAGTCTGCTATGTCATGCTTTGTCCCATGTAACTCACTGTTAGTTATGTAGGTTCCATCAGAGAATTGAAATAGTAGGTAGTCCGTTTGTTCGCAGTTTATGGTAACTGGACACAGTGGCAGAGGACCATATGTAACTGCCCTAAAGTAGAGTAAATTGTCATGATAACGGCGGATGAGTTAGGTTGGTCAAACACATTGAAGGAGAGCCACATACGATTGCCTTGAAAATTCTGTGATTCAATGTAATTTAAATACAATAAGTCTACCTGGCCCAAAATTTTTTGAAAATTTTTTTGACATTAGCAGAAAGTAGCATTCGTGAGTGTTGAGGGTCTGTATGAAAAGCAGTATAACTAATTTCCGAAATTCTTTTCCACTTCTGCAGTAGAAAGACATGTTGTAAGTGCAGTTGATCTGGAAGCCGAGGTAGACGTTTTCTGCGGTAACGATGATTTGTTTTTATTGACTGTGGAAAAAGCACAGGCTTAAACGGAATACTTCAAAAAAAAAACTAGGGTCGAATAACTTCCAATGACGCTTCTAAAAAATTGTGAAGCCTTTTTTATTCTAAGAAGGTGCTGACTTTGGCAAGTTTTACTAGATAGTGAAATTGTTGAGGATAATTTTACAAATTAGGTATGGCACAATTAATACTGGCAGTTTTTTCTCTAGAGAATCACGTTTCATACATGAAGCTCAATAAACGTTTATCTTGGTATTTAGTCTGTCTGCCTGCATATAAATTCTAAGTAAATAGCTTCGTTTCCAGAACCGGTTATTCGCGGCGAGACGGCAATCATTGATTACATCTCACTATCGATTGATATTGAGTGCTGAGAGTTAGCGCAACTTGAAAAATATCAAGCTGACAAAAAAAACAGTCATCCATCGCCTTCATCAATACCTTTATTTCTTGCAGCCGCTGTAGAGCTGGGCGTAGACCTAAAGAGAAAGATGGGGTCTGCATTCTGTCCCATCTGAGGAGTTTCACAATGCGTACTTTGTTACTAGCAAAAGTAATGAACTATATTGCAGCGGTAGATGAAGATATAAAAATATAAGAAACAAATTATTTGATGGAGCAAAGCAACCTTTATAAGATGGCATTCCAACACTAGCAAAAAGTTCAATCCACGAAAAGTTTGAAGGCTACCCATACAAAAGGTCGCAAACCTCCAGTTTCGCCACGCATATACTGTCCACATCGGGTATCATTTATACATTTGCCCTATTCTTTGCGTCTTGAAATCAAAATTAGACTTACAAAATTTAAGAGTGTTTTTTTTGTTTTACTCTGATTCTGTATTTTTTGACTACCGTCTGTAGATGGCCAAAGAATCACTTTATATAATATATTCAAAAGATTGTAGTATAGAATACTTACGTCGAAATAGTTCACCATTAGATTTGTGCATGCAAATTTTTATACTTCCAATTTCCTGCGTGGAAAATGCAGGGTATCTCAAAAGTAGTATACACTGTTTCATCGTTAATATCTCTTTTTCCAAGGAGTCTTTTGCCCATCTTCAGGTATCATTTTGTAAAACTGGTTTCAGCTTAGATGTGGTATATGAGCAAGTCACCTATCGCTCTTCACCACTGTAAGATTACGGTAGGATCACTTGCAGTGTCATCGCGAATTGATAGTGTTTTAGTAAAAGGTTCCAAAAAATCTGAAAAGTGGTGTACTAAGGTTTTCACTGATTCGCTGATTTAATTATTCAACTTTTTACGAGTTTGCAAAGCTTTTCAAATGGTGAAAGACCCCTTGGGAAAAGAGATATCAACCAAACAGTGTATACATACTTTTGGGACCCTATGTATGCATCAAGTGTGTAAATGAATAGCTAATGCGGCAGTTGACTTTTTCAGGCAATTTTGACTTTCCTTAGATTTCTGTGGGCAAAAATCCGAATTTGAGTTTTCATAAATAGACTCTTCTTCAAAACTTCACAGGTATCGGAAATCTTGCGCTTATTGAAAGCCATGTAGAGCACTTTGCTGCATCGATATATTTTTTGCAGATTTTTTCATTCTCTTTCGCGGCAAAGAACACACATTTCTTTAACATTAGACAAATATATTAGGTAGTTCCGAAAGTAATGTCACTTTTTTCAAATGAACGCCACATTCCATAGAATCAAGATTTCCAAGAAATCTTGGAAGCATTCGATGCAGCATTTCATCCTCTTTCTAATGGTTGTAATTTCATTGCATAATATTCAATGAGCTCTTAAGAAATTACCAAAATCTGCGGCTCACGCTTTTTGCCATAGTCAAGCTCGGCTATTTTCTGAACTTTTATACCTAATCTCCGAGGAAGTACAAGCAGCGGGTGGACAGAGCAAACCTTATAGAACACAGAGCAATTTTCTTCTTTTTCTTAGCCCACTAAATCAATTTTCCAATGCTATCAAATTTCATATTTGGTCATTTCAAGCCTCAAAGAGCAGCAACCGGCGAACAGCTCGGATGCTACTCAAGCAGCTTTTTCTCCTCTTCCTAATAGTTGCTTTTGTTTCCGATTCATCAAGCTTTCAGGGAAAAAATCATCATAATTCAGTTTTTCCAGGGCGCCCCAAACTGTACCCGTAATTTTCGAAAGTTGCTAATCTGAAGCGATGAATGCTCATTTGATTTGTAAAATTAGTGTCAAACCATAACCCATCTTTGTAAGTTTCAAAATCCGAAGATTTATTGGTGTTTGATGCATTTGTGTCTGAGACGAGCCTGCAAAAATTGTTAAAAAAACAAAAATTTTTTTATTAAAAAAAAACAAAACAAGAAAACAAAAATAAAAAAAACAGTTCTGCAAAGTAGAAAAAAGTTGTGCTGTGTCCCGTAGGGTTTGCTCTATTCACCCCTTACTTGGGCTCCTTCCGAAGGTTGTTATAAAAATTTAGAAAAATTGTAAGACTTGGCCTTCTCAAAAAGCATGGTTCGCAGATTTTGATAATTTTTCGAGAGATTATTATATTTTGTGCAGTGATTATATAACCATTGGAAAGAAAACGAAATGCTGCATCAAATGCTGTTATAATCTTTAAACATTTTCGTCCCACGAGATGTGGCGTACGTCTGAAAAAAGCGAAATCACTTTCGAAATGACCTAATATTATTTCTATTATTTGCTTCGCTTTCATTATTGTCCTTGTTTTCTCTTTGCATGCACCATTTGCGCGCCAAATATAATGTGTTTTCAAAGATAAATTTCGTTGTGTATCCCAACTAAGATCAATCGATACATCCAAAGGTGAGTTGTGACATAAAAGTGTCAGAGAGGGTTTTCTAGTAGGAAATGCTCTACTTCAAGACTTGATTGGATAGACAGATGTCATTGTCTTAACACCTGGCATACTCTTCCTGTATGCAGAGTTTGAGATATTTGACATGTACAATCAGAGCCCCCCCCCCCCCCGAACGGGCCCTGATAATGGAAGATAAATTGGATGGGGGGGGGGAGGGGGAGAGAGAGCATGCCCACTACAAATGTGACATCCATTCAAGAAATTAATTACCGCAATCGGTCTTATCAATCTTTGCAGATTTTGAGATGGAGTCCAGCTTTGAAGTGTAAGGGCATTAGAATAGCTGCACGAAGTTACAGTAGGAAGTTGATTTTATCGTTTTTTTCGAAGTTAACCGAGTTAACCGAGCGATATCGGATGTCTCAGCAGTACCTTTTACATAACTAACTGATTGGAATAAGGTAAGGGAAAAATTCAATGCTGCACGAGCGGAGAAGTGTGTTCCCAAAGAGACTGAAGGCATGGCAACTATGTCATTGAAGCTAGGGATGAAAGAACAGGTGCAAATTTTTTTCTGCAACATAGTACTCATCGTATCGTACGCGGCAGTCCATTTCCTATCAAGCAGTAATTGTATTCAGCAACTTTGCTGAGCTCTTGCAGGGTAAGATTGAAATACTGTGCACATCGAAACAAAAGCTACTAAGCAACTTAGGAGACACATTCAAGCAGAGTGGCTTTACACAATGCGTATATCATAACACTACGTGTAGCAAACGAGTGTAATCATTACAGTTAGGGTATTGGACAATAACCGCTCTGGTTATTCAGAACAGATCCGAGCAAAGTGTCCAAAGTGTTGTAAACAAGGCATCAGATATCTCTTCTCCCCCCTTCCCTCCCCTCACACTCTCCCCACCCATATAGTAAATGGAGATACGATTGTGACAGTAAAATGTGAAACTTCTCGGCGAATTCGCCAAAGTCGGCGAAAAAGCAAAGTCGCCGACGTCGGCAACAACGCCGAAAATTTTCACATTCCAAAGCCATAACTGTATATGTATGAAAGTGCGCCCCATTGCACACTTACCGTATTTTGAGAACATATCAGCATTACAGCAAATAAAAATGATTTCGCATAGAGAAATTATTCGAAATGCTTCTTACAACAATGACGTCATTGTTGTAAGAAGCATGTCGAATAAATCCTTTCTGTGAAAAAATAAAACTGTAATAAAGTAAATTTCTATGTAAGTGGCCACTTAGATTGTTTGTCAAGACAGTATTAGCACCTATTAGTCAAGTCAAGTCATACCGCATTTTTCTCGAGTAATGATATAATTTGAAATACAACTTTTAAAAAGCAGCTCAGACATGTTATATTTCGTTTCCTCAACAAATCACAGTACAAGATCAGTTACGCGTCTCAAAGCATTGCTACAAATACGCTGGGATACATAGGACACTTGACGATATAGTCCTATGGCGCCTAATTCATAATACTCATAAGTGTTTCTTTGGTTGCATTTTTGAACTTCTTAGTTCACAAGAAAATCATTGATTTTGCATTAGTTTTGAAGTAGGTAAATCACTTCACATTAGAGTTTTTGAGACGGCGATTATTACTCAACATTCTTGAAACACGTTGCGAACAAAGTTACAATAGCGAATTCATATTTACAGTCTGCCCCAATTCCAATCAGGCCAAAATTAGCATGGCGAGAGTCCGCGCCACTAGAGTGTTGCGTCAAGCCTATGGCCTGCTTGCCTGCTCTGCTTTCGATCACTTGGCTCTCTCCGAAGTGCTCGTATGCAGTGCAAAGTACTGGCGCAGCGTGAGCGCAACTTGAGCAAATGGTTCCGCCTCCATCCCCAAAGGGGCAGACTATAAAGCAAAAAGTAAAAACTTACCTTGGGATCTCTGTTGCAAGGTCCAATTAAGGGGCAAACTCTGTCGCTGTACAGATCCATGGGACACTGACAGTGTGGAGGTGTTACAGGTGATCTTGTCGGTAGCGTAGGTGGAGCAGTTACAACTGAAGATACAGTGCATACCAACCTCCACTGGTTAAGGGTACCCACGGGATGAGTCTGCAAGCGCAACGCAGGCAGCGAAATTAGCACCCGAGCACCGAAACTGCTGTTAGATCTGTGGCTAGGGCCGGACATTGCTCTCTTCGAATGTTCTTGTTGATATGTATAGATGCTTTAACTTGCGTATGTTTCTTCTCAGATCTCTAATAGTAAACCTACCAAACAGATTTAACGAATAGTGTTTACTTAACACTTTGACGACCATGTAGATTTTTGGTTGTCTGCCTTCTGGGACCAAGGCCGTTTACGGACCAGCCAGCATTTTTCAACTATAATTGCGGATACTGCCATTTACAGTACACTCACAGTGGATCTGGAAGGCTGACAAAAAAGGAAGAGGTCATCCCTAAATTTAGTGCAAAAGGAAGCTCAAGGAGTGAGTCTTTCCCAGGACAGTAGTCATTTTAACAAAACCCAAGCCTTGACACACATGGTGTGTCAAGCGGTCCCACATGGTAGTCATTGCTTGACACACCATGTGTGTCAAGCGGACATCAATGTGTTAATCATACTTATGTGAAGCGTTTTCAAGTCTTCCAATTTTAGAATAGATAATCTACTTCCACGCATGAGCGAAAAAAGCGTACAGTCTCTGCTTAAGCCCTCTTCACTCAGACGGGGCCATTATCTGAAGTATTTCGTAGTCGATGCAAGATGGAATTCAACGCTTAACATACGCGTAGATGATAAACACGGGATGGATTAACATCGTGAATCTATACGCGGTTGCTTTTGCGCTCAAGTGCAATTTACTTCGCTTGCGGCGCGCATGCGCTGCCTCATTCCACGGTACCCGTGACCGATGGTGTTGATATGCCCCGGGGCAATTAAAAATGAGCTTGTTTTTTTGACGCATCTATTTTCAGATAATCTGTGGTCATAAATTGCTGCCTTCACAGATTCATTACTTTAATGTGTCTATACTTTCTACATATTGAACATGTCATAATCATCAGAAAGTGGACACATGTGTTTCACCGCATGTTTACTTGTTAAACGTGAAAGCATTGAATATGTTCGATAGTATAAGCAAAATCTTTTGAGCGACAAATCGATTCAAAAGTATGGTTACTGTCACAAGTATGTAAATTCAGTATTTTATAACAGTAGAAAGCAAGGGTTCCGTCTAAGCGCGATTAACGTTGAGTTTGCTATTGCTCATGCAAAACACCAACAAAACTTTCTCAGGTTTGCCCGAAGCCCGGCACAGATCGTCTGGAAGCAGAGTGGACTTCGTTTTTGGAGCAAAAAGCAAAAAGATATCGGTTTGCAGTGGGGCCGAGCACTAAGAATAAGCGCCATTCAGTCAGAACACAAGCTTTTCGGACAGGTTATCACACGATTGACATGCTCTATCGTGTATGGCGGAAAGTGCGCGCGATTTGCAGGCAAGGCTAAAACAAACAAATTGATTGTTTACAGCGCACACAGAATCATATGACACCAAAATTGATTGAAATGTATACTTAGAAAATTATTTGCGAAAGAATTATGCAAATAGATTCAAAAACTTAAGAGTATTACCTTTTCCAAAATTAGTCCGTCTCTAAACGGTTACCAGACGATCTGAGATCGTGTGGAGCATGTATTTCTGTCGCTTCACATAAGTTTTAAAATTTTCTATCATCTACGGATTCCCCAATCAAAAATCTAACCCGGAGCATGAAGACATTTCCATATCATTGCGTTTCCTTTATTTTTTGCCCTAAATTCTTTACATATCGCTTTAAATATCGCGCTCCAGTACCAAACTCTTGAGCATGCGTAGTATTCAGCTCCAATTTGGATATTCACTCTTATCTCACGTTTTTTTCTGTCAGACTAGTAAATTTTATTTTGTTTTTATCTTCTCCTAAGTAGGTAGGTCAAATAGGACTTCGTTAAACCTTCGAAAGTCAGGGGAGACTTCGTTTTCAGAAACCCTAGGAACCGACTGGTGCCGGGCCCTGGGTTTGCCCTCTTGTCGTACGTTCTAAGTCAGGTAAAATTGACTGCATGTGATCGTCCCAATCGCCGTAGGCTAAACTCTCGCGAGCGTGTCCATTGCGGGCTAACAATGGCATTCACGCACAAGAATAAATACAGCACCAATACTCGGCAGCCGCTTGATCATTCCCTGCACTGCCTAAAGCGATACGGGGATTTCGTACAGTCGACATTGTTTATTTTTAATTATTTGAAGAAAATTTGAAAGTTTTACGGTATTCACATCGTTTTTTGAAGTGGCTTAAGGCTTTCTGTCGTCCTGCATGAGCAAAGTTCCTACATGGATTCAATAATCAGTAGACAGCAGTGGCGGACCGAGGGGGGAAGGGCTACTTTTGAGAATGGGTCGCGAGATTTTTGAAATTCACTAACATGGGTTATAAAAATGTGAAAGTGACTTGTTTATTGTTGTAAATAATAGAATAATTTTCAAAATTTTCTAAAAATTCAAATTAGCCTCGGGGCGTGTTATGGACCCGCAAAAATTTCGAGAAGCACCCCAAAAATGTTTTCGGAGTGCGTGGCCAACGCCACGCACCTTCATTCAATAAAAATTTTGCCCCCCCCCCCCTACAAGGCTCTTGCCTAGACGCTTGTATGAATTTTACAAGAGGTAGCGAAGCATGCAAATAAGAAACAGCATGCATAGATTTCTTGCAGCATTCCAGATTTCTGGTGACCTAACTTAAAATGCTCACTTATATGGTCTTACCTTTCCATTTTTATCTCTGCATTCAATGTGAAACCGAGGATCTCCAAAAAAAAACGTTTGAAAGTGAAAAACTTTTTTTTCTAACAAAATCAAGAGCAAGCAAATCTGTTGAAATAGCGCAAAGTTACAAATTTTTGAAAATGAAACGACAGAACTTTCGCCCACCTAATACATACACCTTGAATGCTATAAAATCGCGTGTTGTTCAGGCTGTCCATCTACATCTAGTCCTCCATTGTGCTAATTCGATGAGAAGTTGTTTGAACGCATGCAAAGATTTCGTTTATTCGATTTTTTTTAAATAAATCGATTATTCGAATTTCTTCCATTTCCAAAATATTCGATGTTCAGATATTAGGTGTTTTATTGAAATACTCGAAATTCAGTTATTCGGTATTTTTGATTAAATATATTCAATTATTCGATTATTCAAATGAAATTGAATAAAGTATAGTGTGCATCCTCTATGGGCTGTCCCAGGAGTTCTATTCAGGAGAGGGGGGGGGGAGAGTTTAGAAGACAAAATACTATGTTAGAGGTGTTGGCGTTTAGCCGCTCATTCCGAAAACGTTTTGAGTCCTTTTCAAATTGCAGAGCAATTTCATAACTGATGTAAGTGACCTGCAACTATTTCGCGACCCATTTTTGGAACACTCCCCTCCACCCTTGCACCGTCTCTTTCTCCTCGGTCCTCCACTGCTTCTAGTAAGATGGTTCTGAAAACTGCAAGCTTTTGGCAAAGGCAAGGCTAGCACGAGTACAGGACGCGGGGTTTTTTCCTGAAATCGAACAGCACAGACATGCCGAAAGTTTTCGCGACTAAAGAACTATATACAGTGCTGCATGTTGCTTGAGACTATCATGCGGCATAATTCTCGTTTTCCGAAATACAGAGAGGCGGCTGAGCGGCTCGCTTAGAAAATTGAAGTGCGTCCTATACTCGTGAAATTATTGTACTTAGAATATTTTGGCATTCTAAAGAAGTGGTCCTAATCGTTCTTTATTAATGTGAGTGTTTTTGATAAAAAAATTTTTTTTGAACTGTCATTTTCGTTTTCAAGAATGCATAATTATCTTTATAAAATGTTGCAACACTTCAGAGCATATGGATAAAATTTTCAGACAAAAAGTTGAAAATTGACAACTATTGTCTAACCAGCAATTATAGGGAGCATATTGCTATAGTTTATTTCATGTCAGCAAAAACTTCTGGAAAGACAGCAATCAGCAATCATAAGAATCTTCGTTTAGCTTCACCACTATAAATTGTGGTGGTTATTGAAGCTAAATGTATTCAAAAATATGTTGAACTGATTATAAACTTTGTAACCACTCACATGGCAGAATCGTACAGCATGCTAGAAAAATGTTAACTTGACCAGCATTCACAATTAAAACTGGCATTTGTAGCTGACAACCTAGAATGCGAAATCTAGTGTCATGTAATCACGTGCTAAAGTCTACCGATCTGCGAAAATTTTGTTTTTCCAGGTAAAAGTGCTAATGTCAAAAAAATTTTGGCAAAAACAAGCACTTTGGTGTGTACATGATAATCTTACGGTTTAGAAGCATGCTTGACAACTAGATCTGGGAAAACATTTATCTTTCCGCCCAATACAACAACACAAAATTTTTGTAAATCTATGCCTAAAGTACAAAAGGCTTCAGTGCTAAGTAGATTATCAAAGATGTGTAATGAGCACCCCTATAGGTCAATCATTAAACTAATTTTAGTAAAGATGAAAAACAAATAGTGACAGCAGAGTGTAGGAGATACAGGATGCCGTGCAGTTTACAGTCAAACTTCGTTTGACAAAGTTTTATAAGCTCTTCTTCGTCCAGCTTGGTAAAAAAAACACTTATGAATTCCTATTGAAAAGAAGCAAGTGGCAGCTATTGGAAAACTAGCTGAAAGCTGTTATCCCACGACTTATGACCATATGAACTGCTTTAATTTAGTTGCATGTGCGTGGCAAACAAGCTGTCGTTTCTGTTCGTTATGTTGGCACCAGGAAAAGCTATATTATCATATTCGGAGAATGCATAATTTATCTGAAGCCTTAGCACTGCATAAGTGAGTATTGAGCGAAGCATCAAACATAAAAACACCGCTAACGAGTTCTTGCATACAATTCACACGATTTTATAATATTAGCATTCTTCCTCTCTGCTTTCCCGAACATAATAACTTTACATGCCATTTGTTTTTATAGCTTTCTATCCTTCTTTTCCATTATGAGCCAATTTGTCTTTAGAACGTAAAGGTTTTTTTTTACTCACATGATTCTATGCATTGCAGCAAGAGCTAAAATCTTCAAATAACAGAGAAAAACTTTGAATTGGCTACGGTTGTACTTCGTCACTGAGTGGCACCATTTTGATTCAAACGTTTTCTTGATCAGAAATGAGTCGTTCGCTATCGTTTACGATGGGTGGCGCTGAACGAACACACCAATTCGATAGCGCCGGGGTAGCAAGTGGAGGAATGTACAAACAATTGGTTACAGACACTTTTTGTACGAGAGCTCATATATTATGATATATTATGATTTGAGCGGCAGCTTACATAGTCGAAATTGGCCAAACAACCGTGAAAATCTCCACCAAAACAAACTCTTTGCGAACAGAATCAAGGTACCTATTTGATAGTTAATCTCTCCATCCGAGAAAAACACCAACACAGTGCAAAACGGCAAAGAAATAAAGTCCAGAACATATGACTGTCAACGCTAAATCATTGTAATAATTGAGGAGTGAAGCCGTTGACAATTAGGTGAAGATGAACTCTAAACTTTATAAAATTTTTTGTGTATTTCAGATGTAACGAGTCATTGAGCTCGTAAGATCCGGCTAACAAAAACAACAGTTTCTAACAAAAATCAGCCAATAACGGCAGTATGGCGAACGAGGTTTTGCCACTTTTGTCAAATTTTTGATCCCAATTTCTCAAACGACAGCGCGTCTGGCCACAAAAAGTCTCAAAAGCGCCCTGATACTCCTCAAAATCAAGCGTCATTGTAAGATTTGCGAAAGAGCATAAGAGCTTTGAGGAGTAGCATACTAGAGTACCTTCCAGATGGGTCTTGCAGGATAAGATGACGTTTACCGTCTGGAATCAAACTTGCCGTGCGAAACAATTCACTATGCCCATTGAACCTTCTACAGTATGAGCTCGTTCAAAACGATCATACCTTCGATGCATAGAGTCATGCACTCTGGTGACCTTCACTTCGAACGACACTAAAGAACACAATCTTCACCATAAAGCAAATGCCATCCGGCGCTTAGCGCTCCAGATGTTAAAATCATAACTGTATTAAAATTGATGTAAATGAAGTACGTATAGTGATCTCAAAAATATCGCAGCAAAACAAAGAAATTGAGTTTTTAGCCTTTTTTGTGCTACGAGATTTTTGTTCACATTTTCATAATATTCAGGACAACGTTTTTTCAGCTGACCTCTTTTTAGACTACGATTGAATTTTAAATACTCACGAGAGCCATCAAAAAGCTGCGCACAACTCTAGCGCAGAAAATCGCGAATAAAAGTGCTGGTTTATTTCGTTGAGAAGAGATTCAAGGCTAGCGACGTTTTGTGAACCTTCTAGTCGTGTCATGACGATCAGAATGAATATAATGTTGCAAGGTTTTCTTGAGACCCAGCTGAAATCTACGACCAGAGCCAAATGCCCCGTCGGCTCTGACCTTTCTCTTCTACTCATCTGCGCCTCCGCGCGTTGCGCGCTATCTCACTACCCTAAACCGGGGGCGCGGGGTATTTGGCTCCGGCTTTGGCTTTGGCACGAACTAATATGTAAGGCGTTATCGAAATTTTATAGCAGACTTTTCATGCACAGCACGTGCTAAAAATTATCAAAGTTCAAGCTCAGTTGCTCGGTTAATCGTTTCTATTTCCGTAATTTGAGCACACTTACCCTTATTTATTTCTATTTTACCAGAAATCATGTCAACGAATCCACCGAGACAAGAAGAAAATCACTATTCCAAAAAAGTGCAACAGTAACAAAATAAATATCTTAGCGATTGCAGGAAATCCACATATTATCTAATCATACACGTTTACTTCAAACTTTCAACGTATAAAATATCCAGCATTACACCACTATTGTTAGTTAACCACTCTTCCCTACTGAGGAGCCTCGGGAGTGGTTTTTCACTTATTGTATTCCTGTATAGGGGTAGAGGCGAAACAGGCTTAATAGTAATCCTTTATTTTTTATTCATTTCAGCTTATTTTGAGAACATTCTACACCATAACCGTCACTCAGACCCGAAAGCTCCAAACACATTTTTCTGTTCATTGTAAACAATCAATTCAGCTTTAAGCATTAGTCCGCAATAAAAAGAAAGCATCCGTTTTCAACATCATCATTTCAGCAGTTGCTCAGATTGTTTCTTACCTTGCAAATGAATGTGGAATGGTTTATCAAAGACGAAGCAACTTTTTACTTGATGAAAAATTCCATCTTGCTAATCAAGCTAGCGACGAATAATCACTGCTGGCATTTTAAGAAAAGTTCCTCTCATCGACTAGAAATATTGAATTGTTGATTGCAGAAACATTATGCACGAGAAAATGCCAACTTGAGTCGTTACCCTTCTAAATGTCATTGAGACAAATTAAACGGCGAAACCTGGAATACGTTTAAGCAATTTTACACATCTGAATTTTTGGCTAATCCGCGTACCTCTTTCGAGGTTTTTTGTTTTTGAAAACAAAATCTTGTACTTTAATATCCTGACATAAGAAAATTAATTGGCAAGAAAAGCTGGGGCTAAGGCGACATATTTTGATATCTGTGCGAGAAAACGGTGGTTTTTTAAGATTAAGAGATTTTATCTATGCTTGACCGTCTCCTTGAAACTAGTAGTGTTCTATCATAATAATTTCATTTATTGAAAAACAATGCACAGTCATTGATCAAAATTTAGAAGCGAAGATATGTTTAGCGATTTATTAGGTTGGCACATAAGTTTTGCAACTTTTCCCGTAACTTTTTTCCTATTTTATGGAGCAATCTCATTTTGTGGTATCATGTAGAACGTCATGTAAGCTGCAAGTCTGCGCAAACCGTTTGATTTTTGATAACGTAGTACAAAAAATCTAAGCATTTTTTGAAAACTGCTGAAAATCGAGATTTCACGATTTTTTGGCAAACATGAAGCCCTACGAAACCTGATTCAAACATATGAAAAAGCAATTATAGGCAGCATGTAGCTGGAAGTTGGCACATTGGAGTCAGTGAAAAAGAAATGAAACACAAATTAAGGTGGGGCGCCTTTGAGAAGTTGAACAAGTCAAATGCGTCAAGTTTTGAAGACAATTTGTCAATAACTAAGCTGCGAAAAGTCAGAATTCGCTATAACTTTGCACTATAGGGTAATCCTATGCGGTGAACACGAATATCATATTCATTTGTCGCTACAATGAAATTTATTTTTTGATCTCACGAACGAGGCCTTTTCATGCGTAACGGATCTCATTTTTGTGATCAGCATGTCGAATAAGCCCTATAGGCCAAGTTTCAGCAAAATCTGATGCATTCTAAAAATTTTCCCATAGTACCGTAAACCTACCGTAATCCTCACATAAGATGGTAAAATTCGGCAAAAAATGTGTGCATTAGAAGCTTACATCATATTCCTTATATTGCCAAAAAATGAGTGCGCTACGTTCAAGTAGACAAAAGTTATATAAAAAGTTGCATTACTTATGTGCCAACCTAATACAAGATATAAGTTCGTCATCCATTACTTTCACCTCCGTGTCGTTAATGTTCAGTACCCAACTTTCGTTCACACAAAACAGCAACGTATTGTTCTCCACGCTGGCTTGGAAACGACTTTGCGAAGCACACTGAATTGTTAATAATTGCAAAATGTCATTCCTTTGCAAAATGTTATGCAAGTGAAAAGTGTCGAAAAAACTTTGTGAAGAAAATCGTGTTCTATTGTGTTTATATGTAGCATCTATACGTCTTCTGAAAACCGTTTCCTGTAGGTTTCCTTCGTACGTGTTTTTTACATGTGAAATCTGTTACACTAGCAGACTGTGGTATCCTCTTTCTGAAGCAGATCGAACGCCTTGACTTAGAGCAGATTACGGTAATGTATAACGTGTTATCCTTCAATTTGACGAGTTCAAAAATGGTATCGAATTGTAGTGAGGCAGCCGGTGCAAAGTCGTAGTATTCGAGTGTTATGAGATATGCATAAACTCGATTTTTTGAGAAGAGGAAAACATGTGAATAGTATAGCTAGACTTCAATTGACTCATAGACTCGGGTTCCAAAAAGTGAATCAAGTAAAGAGATTGAGTATGACCACTTCGAGATAATTCCGAAGAAACTTAGGGATGGAAACAAATAGCAAAAGTTTTGTGACCCACTTTTTAGATGAGC